TGTTGTTTTGGGGCTCCCTCTGTTTCAGGGTCATCACAGGTACTGAAAGGAGTGCCAGGAGCAGAGCCCCTCCTCACCCAGCCCCCTGCCTCTGTCCAGCTCTGACTTTGCCCAGGTTCCTCCATGGTGGATCTGCCCCAGACCCCTAACCTGCAAGAGGTCCCCTTCCACACAGGTAATTTCTCTGTAACTAACAGGAGGCTGACCCTCTCTCCAAAGCAGGGCAGGGCCAAGGCCAGTATGTGAGGGCCCATGAGGTGCCCTGCTGGGCCTGCATATCCTGAAGGAATAAGTGAGGTGAGACTAAGTGGGTCCATAAGATGCATGGGGGGGAGGGGGGTAAGGGGGGGTAAGAGTTGGCTGGGGGGACAGCTGACTGGCCAGCCAGCCCCAACCGCACCAGAGGCCTGACTTGCAAAGTATTTGTCTCCTTCCAGCTTCCTTCACCTTCTGAACCTGACCCACACCCAAACTATTTCCCCCATGTCCTCCAGTCTCCTCCAGGCTTCAGCTCCCTCAATGATGACATGGGGATCAAAGTACCTGCCTCTCAGGGCAGATGTAAAGGTCAGGTCCCTGGCCCCTGGCCCCTGACCCTGTACAGGCAGTAGGTGTTCTAGGAGTTGTCTGAACTAGTGTGACAGTGCTTTGGAACCTGGAAAGCACTAGTCAGATGTCAGCTGTTATAACTGGTCCACTCAACTTCCTCAGATCAAGTTCCCAAGTAAAAGTTCCCCTTGACTCCACCCCCAAAACTGAAAATCCCCATAACGGCCCCTTCCTTCTGCAGTGTCGCCTCCATCTTGGCTTCCCCTGCTAGTTTCACAGGCCCTGCAGGAAGTGACCAGCCTTCCATTAGCTCCTGCCCTGGGCCTGCAAAAGCTCACAGGCTCCTGGGCTGAGTGAGAGACAAAGGGGAGTAACAGGAACTGGGGGTTTGTTTCCTCCTCCTGAAAAACCACCTTACCCTCTCACCCACAAACTCAAGACAGAAAGAGAAAGCTGGGGAAGGAGGCGCAGAGGAAGGGCTTCCCTCCGGTATGTGTTTTGGTTTGTCAGTGGGGCCATGCTGGCTGAACGTCACCCTTACCCTTTACTTGAACACTCACAACAATCCTGCACAGTAGACTTGTCCACCACTGAATAGGAGGGGACAGGGATGGTGGCTTTGTCCAAGATCACAGGGCTGATCGACAGCTGAGCTGAGACCTGAACTCTTCTCACTGTACTTATTTCCCCATCTGTAAAATGAGAGGACTAGACTAGATGATCCCTAAATTCCTTCCAGCCCTATCATGCAATGATTCACTGCTGTCGCCTTATTTTTAGCCTCTTCACACCTATCCAAGCGTCATGACTACCCATACACCCTCAGTCAATGCTCGTTGAGTTCCTGATGGTCTCTCACACAGACACCTGGCAGTGTCTTGGTACATCATTAGAGCCCCACCTGTTGACTGAGTGATGCTGATGTAACGAGAAGTCCCTCCCTCAGCCTCCCCAGCAATCCTTTATATGGGGGGTTTGGGGACCAGACGCAAATCCAGCCTCCGCTTACCACCTCCCTACCTGCAGTTTCTGCTCGCTCTGGTCCATTTTCCACTTTAAAGTGACCAGGAGAGAGCACTACTAGTGGACAAGAGGACAGGCCCTGGCGTCAGGCCCCTCTAATTGGACTACAGTTTTTCTATTTATATAACCTGTGACCTAGGAGATATCTATATCTATATATATCTTAACTTCTATATTTTCTTCTAAAAGTTTTATGACTATTTTACACAAACATTTGTGCATTTATTTTCATGTGTAGTGTGAGGCAGGGATCTAATTTTATTTTTTTCCATTTGGCTAGTCAATTGTTCCTACACCATTTAAAGAACCCATCCACCCTTTCTGCACTCAGGTGCGTCTCCTCCAGCTCTTAACCATATTCCCACATATGCATAGGTCTGGCTCCTGGTCCCGTTCTATTTCCTAATTTATTTCTCTAGCTAGCTATTCCCGTTTATCACGTTGTTTTAGTTACTGTATCTTTGATACTAACAACACAGGACTTCCCTTTTCGTCCTGTGTTTTTCCTTGTAGTTTTCCAAAATTATCTTAGACATCATCCTGGGCACTTTACCTTATGACTTTTAAAATTAGCTTGCCCAGTTCCTTTAAAAAGTAGCTTGCTTTCCTAAACCTTCACCTCCTTTACCATACGATGGTGATGATCCCAAGCCCTGCAGGTTATAGGGCCGCAGACTAAGTGTAAGGCAGTGAACACCGCCTGGCCTCAGGCCCAGGGCACAAGGAACACTCTGTGGACAGTAGTATCATCTTCCCCAAATGCCCAGATGCAGTCACCACTCTGTTTTAAAAGCTTTGTTGGCTTCCCAGTCATGCGGAGTAAAGTTCAAACAGCCTGCCAAGCCACCTGACCCCAGCTGACCTTTCCCGTGGCGCCTCCTCTCTGCCCACTATGCTATCACGTTCCAGCCCCAGCAAACTCACCGTTACCCGAGCACAGAGCCTTGCCCGTGCAATGCTGTCCCCTTAGCCAAGAATTCCTTCATCTCTCCTGAATTCTGATGGTCCCTCAGCCTTCTTCTTATTACATTTGTCACTTTGCATAGTGATCACTTGTGTCTACTGGGACTTGTCTTAGTGAACTTGACACGGCCTTTGGCATTTCCCAAACAGGTGTTCACTCAGCAACCACCATTTACAGTCACACACCAACTTTGGCATCACATACTCTCCTTTACTTGAACACTCACAACAGTCTTGCACAGTAGACTTGCCTACCAACGAATAGGAGGGGACAGGGATGGTGGCTTTGTCCAAGATCACAGAGCTGATTGACAGCTGAGCTGAGACCTGAACCTGCCTCTAATTCCAATGCTCACACCTTCTAGTATAGCAAGCAGCCTTCTGACAAATGACTGTCCGTCCTCCCTTTCCTGAATCCCTAACTCCATCCCCCCGGTCCCATGGTCCTCTTGCCTGAGCTCTCTCCACCGTCCTCACCCTACCTCCAAAGGCTTACCTCCCCAGGCTGTCACCTCTCCCATTTCAAGCCATGTGTCACCCAAGCAGGCGCCTCTGTGAGGACTGAGTGTCCTGGCATTCAGGACACAGAACATGAAGCCTCATGCTTACATCCATCCTCAGATGCTGTGAGATGTTAGCTGGGTGTCACAAGACTAAGGAAGTAAAATAAACCTTTCACACCCTAAATGTGTTTGAAACCAGAAAGCAAACAAGTCCATGGTTTATAATACCAGGCTTTCTTGGGCACGATTATCAGGTCTCTGGAGAGGATGGGAGCCAGCCTTACTTGGAGAAGAGCAGGAATTCTGCCACCTCAATCTGGCTTGGGTGGTCAGCACTGCATAGCATGCCAGCATATGCCAGCCAGCATAACAAAGGGCATAGGAAGTGCAATGCATGCTGTGGCATGGTGTCCCCGGGGTGGTTCCAGCAAGTCAGAGCTGTGTTGGGGTCCTTTGGGCTTTCTCTCGTTACCCATGCTCAAAGTTTTGGGGTCTCTTTAGATTTCTCTCTCTAGCTACACAGTCTTGCAGGCTGGGCTAGAAGGCTGGGCCGCAGCAAGATAACCCCAAAGTTTGTATTTAACCTGAGAATGTAGAAAATGTGATGGGCCACCTGTAGAATGACCCTTCATGATCTGACACGGGTGAGTGGAGAGTTTCCGGAACCCCAGATCCCAACAGAGGTGGCCATTTGGTGGTTTTCTGAGTATATCATTAGCACCAGCATTCGTAAGCTCAGAGCCTCATTATGCACACTAAATCTGGCAAAAGAAAGAATCTTTTGACAGAGGAAGGAGGGGTGATCATCATGGGATGGAGAAAAAAGGCCTGCAGAGTCAAAATTTTATGGGAGAGTACCTGACCAGCAGATACGGAATCTGCGCTGTGGCTGAATGAAATCATCAGGCTATTGTTCAGAAACAACTTTCTATTTTTGGCTACCCACACAGACAGCTGGGGCACTGACCAGGTAGCTTGGCTTGACATCTATCATCCTATAAATGAGTCAACTGTCATCCAGGCACACACCTCAGTCTCGTATGAGTTAGGTTCATGGGAGTTTCATCCTAGTAGCGACCCTCTGGGTACCTTGACCACATCAGGTTTCCTGGTCTACAAAACTTGGGCATGTCACCAGGGTCCGAGAGGCCAGCCTGCCCCAGTGGATGGACATGTTTATCTGACTGTGATATTCTACTTATTCATGCTTCTCTCTCCCTTTCTCCACCCCCAGCTCCACTTGCTGAGTCCTTCATCGCTCAGGTAGTTATCACAAGCTTCCAGACTGCTCTTCTCCAACCTCTCCTGAGGCCTCCTCCTCACAATGGCTGACATCACCTGACCGCCCTGTTCAAGAATGCTTCGAATGTGTGAAGCCAACTCCTTGGCCTGGCCTTTGTGACCTTCCATAATCTGACCTCATCATGCTCATTTGTCTTCGGGCCTGGGCGACGCAGCTCACTTAATGGTGCTCTCCCATTGATGACACCCTGCCTGTTCCCTGCCAGCCAGTCCCACCATACGCATCTTCACACCACCACTCCTCTAGCCTTCTTGGCCCCACCACACTCAGCTCCTACTTCCACACAGGAAGGCTATGCTCCCTTGTTATCTTAGATGTGGCTCACCTGTCACCTATGCCCCTTTGGCTCCTAGTAAAACCTCCTGACTGAGGAGGGCAGGCCCTCTCTGCAGCACTGGGCACGGACAGTCTGCCCAAGGGTCTCCTTGGGCACCTTGTAGCAGTGATGGCAAGATGAAGCAAGATGCTCATGCTGTTTGTCACAGGCTTCTCTAATTCATCCCTCACTTGAATTTCCTGAACCGCCAATCTTCCATGGGGCCACTTATGGCCTCTGGGGCAACTCCCAAGAATTCAGCAAAAAGGGGGATAAACTCAAGACGGATGTGAAGCACTCAAGAGCAACCTCCAGAAAGAAGAGACCAGACACCAAGCAGGGATGTGTGTGAAATACTGGTTTTTATTGGTTGGCACAAGATTACAACCTACAATTCCAATGCCCTTCCCTCCCACATAGCTCAAATAGAAGGAAACTGATTAACACAAAGAAAGGAAAAGCACACACACAGGTTTAGCCATTATCTGTACAAAAAGGAGCGGGATGTGGGGTGGGGGAATTTTAGGGGTAGTACCAAAGCTCTATTTAGATCACAGGGTGGGGAGGGGTCTGCCTGTCCTCTGTTGTTGGCACCACAGGAGCGGACGCTTTAGTCAAGAAGAGGAATGATTACATATGGCTGGCCTGCTGCTAAGGAGGGAAGTGGGGCTCACAGCTGCTGTGCACCTGTCTCAGCCCCCAACCTGGGGCTGGACGCAGTTCCCCTTTCTTTCCAGCCCTCCTCTGCAGCCCAACTGCTCTCATGGGAAGAGACGTGTGAAGGGAGCCTAAGAACACAGGAAAACTCGGCTTCCTTCTGCTTTCTCTGGACCAAACACCCTCCCCTCGGTGCCTGCAAGCTCGTGAAGGCCTTCCTTAGAGGTGCTGTGAAGACGCCGGGCACAGGCTGGCCTGGGCGCGTGGCCCACTTAGAGGTGCTGTGAAGACACCGGGCACAGGCCGGCCTGGGCGCATGGCCTAAGTGGGCAGGAAGGAAAACTTATCTCCCGTGCAATACCAAGCAAGGTTGTTTTGGAAACAAACAAACAAAACAACAAAAAGAAAAAGAAGGCCATGAGCCATGGGTTAGAACTTAGGTCCTGGAGTGCATCTGAACTGGGGAAGGGCGGTATTATTCCAAAGCCCAGTTTCATAAGGCAGCACCAGGTCCCAAGAGGTGAAGTGACCACAACCAACCCTTCCTCCCACACAAACGCTGTTCCTTGGATTCCCCAGTTTTGTTGAGCTCATTCGGGGTTATTTTTGCCAATATCTCCAAGGATGTGAGTGCTCAGCCCATTGGTTGTTCCACTTTCTACCCTTCTTACAAATATGAAGCACACTGCCTACGCAGGGGATGCATGCAGTGACTCTGTAGAATGAGCACGGGACTAGGTGACCTAATGATGGGAGGGGACAGCAGTAGGGTTCTAGCGTGAGCCTGTGTGACCCCAGGAGACTGGTCTCTGGGCGTGTGGGCTCCTGGCTCTGCCTAGGTTCTGGAGACATTACTAGACTTGGCCATTTAGGCCTCAGCTAAAACGTATGAGCACTAGGGAGAAGGGACAAATACTCCCATCCTTTGGAAAAGTTAACCTCAATACATCTTGGCTACTTTGCCTCAATCCAAGGGGTTCCCTAGAAATACTTGTTGAACTTGCCCAAAGGTAGACTGCAATCTGAGCGACAGACTTGCGACAGGGAAGGAAGCACAGTTAGTTCATCTGTTTTAGAACTGGAATGGTCCCAGGGGTTTGAAACCTTCTGATGCTGATGGGAGACGAGTGGAGATGGCCACAGGAAGGAAACACCTTAAGCAGACCATACTCCACAGCTGAGCAAACAGGGCTGGGGCCTCATGGACTCTTCAGAGCCTGTCCAACGTCACTGGAGAGGAGGGGAGACAAGGTCCTTGAGATGAAGGCTGGGCTGGCAAGAGCAAGGATGAAGATGCTTCCAACAGGCTCCCACTTCCTCTCTGAGAACAATGCACTTGGGCAGGCCAGAGACACTTGCTTTACTTTCACAACAGCTCCCAACATCCTCAAATGCTCCTGAATTCCTTAAGCACATGGCAAACTGGAAGCTATCTTTCCTGAAACAGATGCACTAAATGAAACTTTACTTATTCTAACCACCAACCTTTTAAATATAAACCAGTTTGAAAGTTTTCAGACCACAACAGTAAAAACAGACCTGACATTTACAAAACTGTACCACATACTGTTATTCCTTTTATGAGAGAGAGGGCCAGTTGTTTAACTACGAAACGCACCACTCCGCCACGGGGCCGGGACCCACTCGTGCATCTGTGCCTGAGCACGGATGTCCCTCCGTGGGCGGAAGTGAAAGGGGGAGGGTCTTAGAGGCCAAACAGAACACCTGAAGCTAATTAGTTTTTGCAGGGGGGTCTCTGTGGATTCTGAACAGAGATGCTCGCAGCCACATGACCAAAGGGCAGGGCTGTGTCTGTGCACTGTGGCTCGGAGGCCTGTCACTGCCTGTGGAACTCCGTCCTGTTCTTGGGAGGGACACAAGCTGCCTGCTCGCTGAGCAAGAGCCCTCTTAAGTCCTCCCCTCACTTCAGCGCTTGGGAAGCGCTCCCAGGCCCCACTTCAGATCTGCCCCAGGAGGAGGCTTTACATGGAGCAGACCCATCGCTCTGGTTCCTGGGTGTCTCTATAATCAGCCTCTACCTTCCTTGACATAAGTCGTATCTGTTATGCCGCTGGAATCAACTAACCCAAATTAGATGTCTGGTCATTTGTTAGTGAGCCTGAAAAGCGTTTCTTTTTACCAGGACAATAAAGAGGTGAAAGAAGCTACCTGATCTGTTGCTGCTTTAGGTTAACATTTCAGCTCAGCACAGAAGTGCGCAGAAAGACTGGCTCGCATCAGTATTAGCTCTGTAGGGATTTACAGGCGATCTCACTGGGAAAATGATTCCCGAAGGTGAACCACTGCACACACACTACAGAGAGGGGAGGACGTTCTCAGGCCGAGCATCAGGATTGAGGCATCTCGCTTTTCCCTAAGGAGTTCCAAAGACTTAGATTTTTATCTAAATGCCTGATTGGGACCTCACACCCAGACAGTGATTTTACTGTACTGTTGAGATTTCTCTGAAAGGCACCCCCCTCGCCCCCATGGTAAGCAATTTAGTAGGTTAACTGTCCCAGAACCAGAGCTTATGTTCCCCAACTCAGTGATGAATAAGATCTTCACATCCGGCCTGGCTGCAATGGGGGTGAAGAATCAAAGCACATCAAAGTGGTGATGAGCCTGGAAAATGACCATGCTGCAGTTTTTCTATCCTTCAAAGCCTAGCTCCAGGGTTTTACATGCTTTTTTTGGTGTTCTAGTGGCCCCTGTGCGGAGTTTAGAACTGGGAATGTAAACCAGAGGATACCTAGAGAAACTACTTAAACAGCCGACTGCCAGAGGAACACAGGCTTCCTTGTTGGGCCCAAAGCACTTTTCCTCAGCACAGTCCCCACTGGTGTGCTGGGTTCTGAGTTCGCGTGGTTTTTGTGTGAGCTTCCCTTGCTGTGGGCAGTCTCATTTTCTAGAACAAGTTCAAACTCACCAAATCATCATTACAAACAAAGATTTAGGGGAGAGACACGCCTTTTTTACTTAGAAAGCTTCATATTGCAGAGACACACAAAATCACGTGACTGCTAGCCTCAGCTCAAGGAATCTGTCCACATCAACACCACACGGGGAGTCTTTCTTTCTCAATTATTAATTTTTCAGGGGAATAGGAGGACAAAGCACTTGATTCATCCGAAGGTGAGAGGTATCATTTTCTTAGATGTCCTGATTAGGCTTCTCACATCCTGGAAAGGTTATCTATCAGCTGATGCAAGAACATGGTCAAACGTGGAGCTGCCCTTTTAGAGGCAGGAGGTTCCAAAGGAGAACCTGCCGGAAAACTCTGGGTTCCCAGGACCTGTGTGATATCAAGTCAGCCCAATGCACGGACCACGGTGTCTTGCCTGGACTGCAGTCAGTGCTTTCCAATTTACAATTGACCTGAAAATCTCCAGTGTGTCAGTGCTTTAGGTGACATCTGACGTGGAATGAACACACAGCTCTTTTGGGTAGGAGAGGTCTCTGCGGCAAGGCTCAGCCTAGAGCGCGAAGGCTGACTGGGTGCTTTCCCACCTACTCCAAATGAGGTGCTGGGGGCAAGGCTGAAGCCACCGGCATGGACAGCGGCCTGGAAGCCTCCCGTAAGCTGGGGAAAATGGTGCCATGCCAGCAGGGCTCAGAAGATGTGACAGCCACCTCAGCTGGGCAGTGTGAACTGCAGAGCCTCAGCTCTGCCCTCTTTAGCTTCAAGAACCAGAACCAGGAGCACTGTGTGCACTGCTCAGTTACTATTAAAGAATCTCCTCCACACAGAACCGTGGGAGGTAACTGTCCTCTTGTCTATTTTTTTGTAAAAATGCGGATTATTTTCTGAAATGCAGATGTGGGACCAGGATGAAGCGATACTGTCAATAGCTAACCCTCATTTCCCTTAAAGCAAAAATTCATACCACTGTGGTCATATCTCCAGGTATTTCTTCTAACTCTAAATCTACTCTCAACTAAGATGGGCTTATAGAACACTACAGAAATATTACAAATCACAGTTGTGGCAAAAATCACATTGTAGTTATTAAATCCTTTTTGTAAACTAAAAAAAAAAATGTGGCTCAGTTGCTAAGCTGTTTTAAAAAACATCAGGTGGGAAGACTAACACAGGCGTTATCATAGCACTAGGCAGAAATGACAAATGTGTGAAGTTCAGCGTGTGAAACGCATACCGGGTCCAACAGAAGAGCAATTAACCCTCTGGTTAAAGGGGTTCAGAAGGAGCCCCCAATGAGTGCTGGGTGTGGCGAGGACAAAGGGTAACGAGAACTAGGAAGAAAGAGGAAGGAGGAAGAACAATGCTGAGTGGAGCTTTTTTCTTCTGAAAACAAAAGGTGACTTTTTTCTTCTAAGCAAGTCTCAGAGACTTTACATGGGCTGACTCCTAATATCAAAACAAAGTATTTTTTTGGTAAGAAGGAACCTGACTATGTAGCAATATGTTTACGAAACGGCTGCAAAACACTCCTAGAGGGCAGTGACCCACTCTGCCCCCAGAGGCTGAGAAGTAAGGCCTATAGTGCCTCACTGCTGCACAGAGCTGCGCACTGCTCCGCAGGGGCAGAAAGCCTGTGGCAAGGCCCGCTTCCAGGCCCTCCCCAGCCAGCCGGCCACAGAGGGGGGACACTTCCACGTTCTTTGATCCCTCCAGATGGCCTCTCAGTGAGAGAGCCCTCTCTACCAGGGCAGATGGAGCAGCAGACACTTGTAAAAACAAAACACAGTCAATTCATTAACGTTTCCATCCTGTTAGGTTTGCTACAAGAAAAATCAAGCCTCCTGTTTCATGGGCTGCATTGTTCTGAAAGGCTACAAAAAAATCTAACACGCTGACTCCTGCAGGTAGCCCATCTCTCTCTCTCTCTCTCTCTCCTGCCCCCTCCCCCATACACACAAAGTCCTGGTCCAAAAAGATGGCATGACCTCACTGGCGTTTCCCCAATGGCTGTAATTTATAAACCAAAAACAAATTTTAATTTAAAAACATCCATTGCTCTCTCTCTGTTCTGAGGATGGAGGACTCTGATGGATGCTCCAGCAATAACCAGAATCTAGGACATTCAAATTCACTGAGGAAGAGACTTTCTTTCTGCCCTGAATACAGGCAACTTTCCGTCAAGCCTGAAAATGCTCGCAGAATTACTGGCAAATCAGTGTCAATGAAATATTTTGCAAGTAAGGTGATTTTTGTGCTTTCTTTTGTTTCTCCTTGCTTTCTGTGGGGAGATATAAAGTTTACTACAACTGTGGGTCTAAGTAATCTATCACCGAGGGCTGTGACCACACATCAGAAAAGGCAGCCATGCTGTTTATGGTGCCAGGAAGGGAAAAACACCAACCTCTGCTCACCAGAATCCGAGTGCAACAGAAAACATCACCAGTGTCAACAGTTCTGGTGCCTGACAAAGCCTCCTTTTGTCAGTCAGGAAAGCATCAGCACAATCTCTCCAGTGAACTGCATTAATAGGATCCATTCATGTCACCGAAAAATACTTCTTGGCACAGTTCACTTTCCTGACCCAAAGACGCCAACAACAATCCAAGCTGGGCTTTGCAGGGTAGTATATTGTTACACCAGCCCAGGAAAAACACCTTCAGATCATTACAAAGTGCACAAATTGCTGTTAACACTGCAGTGCCCTTTTTAGGAGTACTGACTGTTTTCCTGCAAAGCACTTTCAGTCCATATCATAAAGGGAGAATTTATTTGGAAGAATGTGCTTTTGGGATTCTGCTTGGTGCTTAGTTGGACTTATTTATTTTCCCCTTTATGTATTATTTGAACAGAACCTTAGGATGCTCTAAATCAGGCAACGAGCAACGGTGTGTTCATTTTTAAGTAGGACATGTGAACACTGACTTGGCATTTAGACTCAAATCCCATGGTGCTCTTTCAATCCACTGGGACCCTGACTTGGGGGTACAATTCATTTTCCAGAGCCAAGATGGGATCCTAAGGAAACTGCCAGCACTGTTTTGGTTCTGTGTTTCAAGACTGGGAGAGAAGATGCAAACCAAGAGTAGATGGCAAAATTTAAATTCACCAACTCATGTCCCCCAAAATGCTGAACACTACATGACACAGGCCTATCAGATATATACATTTCTTTAGTGGGAGGGAAGAGCAACAGCTTTGCAATGTTTGAGTATTTATTAGAATTTTAAATAAAGAGAACTACGATTCTAACTTCACATCTTGGCTATGTTTTGACAAAGGAGATGCCACTAAGAGTGTAGCAACAAACTCCTGTCCCAAGCCAGGGATTGATCAGTGCCTCCCCTCCCAGTCGCACCTCCATATCGCAAGGCCCTTTTCTGCCTACTTCCCAACAAAACCACACAATTGGCAAATGAAGCCGGCATGAAACCTATGTCAAACCCAACAAGACAGTTTGCAGTGAGACGATGCATTATGCAGCTGTTCTAGTAAATGATTAAGCATCTCTCGTATCACTTCTCAGCAGAAGATGGACCTTTCACATCCTAGTGGGAGACAAATGTGGTATTTCTGAGCATGCTCTATGATGCAATTATAAGTGCTGTAACATTATGAAGACAAGCAAACACCCAAGCTTTGCTCCTGGGTACTTTTCAGGAACTTAGCAGTTACCCAGGAGGGGACAGGACCCCCACCCCACCCCCACTGCACTTGCCGAGTGGAGTCGGATGCTTCAGAGCACGGGACAATGTCCAGTTCGGCTCGCTGTAAGGCTTGTGTGCACAAGGAGAGGCCGTTCTTGGCGGTAAGTAGCATATGGAAAACATCGCAAACCAGCAGGAGAGGAATAGTGCTTGATGCTCCAGTATTTTTTATAGTAATCCCAAGAATCCAGTTCAAATCCCTATTGTCAACAAGTGGGGAGGAATTCAATTTCTATCATTGTTTCTCCGGATCTGAGCTGAGGCCATTTGCTCCTGGCTTGGTAATAAAAAGAAAATAGGATTCTTCCTGTTTCTTTCTTGGCATGGAAACACAGCTTCGAGAAGAGGAGGCTATGAGTTCTGGGAGCACTATGAAGGTAGCTACACTCACTCTTCCTGCACCTACACAACTACAGTCAATGACTGGGGAACGGAGAAAGGACAGGGAAACTCATCTAGCCACTAGAACGGGAAACAAAAAGAAATTGTGAGGCTCTCCATTTCAGGAACACCCCCAATTTGAAAAAAAAAAAACAAAAAAACAAAACCTTGAAAAATTTCAACAGTTAAATTCCTCTTCTGAAGTCATTCATTTACATATTATATGCTCAGTATATAATGTGTAGATAAATGTATCCTGCAGGGAAAGTGACAACCTGCTGGACTGAACAGCACATTACAGAACAAATTCTTGAAAGGTTTCATCTCATACTGGTATCTTTTAATTAAAAAAAAACCAAAATAAAAATCAAAGAAAAATGTCTGGCCAGGGCTGGGATGAGACAAACAGGAATACTTCAGAATCCAAGGCAGAGGGAAAGCTGTTTGCCTCTTTTTAGAGGACAGTAGGGGTGTGAAAAGGGAGGGACAGATCATGCACAGAAGTACTTACAAATTACACACCCCACCCCCAACCCCCTCAATAAAAAGAGAAGCAGAAGCCCCATCACTTAACACCAAATGGCAACATTACCAATAAACCCTTCTCTGTTGCCCATCGAGCCTTATTTGAAAGAGGCGGCCTGTGAGGAGAGGTGGAAAGAGCAAGGGTGAGAGGGAAGGTCTGCACTTCAGTCTAGTTTCCAATTTCCATTTCTCTTACAGGAAGTCTTCAGTCATCTGATGCCTGACATGGAGCTCTGAGCAGAAACCGAGTACGCAGTGGCCACGACTGGGGTGCCGTTGTTGGCCGAATAGCCTTGCCTCAACGTTTCAAAATACGACGCCTGCACGGGCTTGTGACACTGCAGCACTTTCACGGCATCTTCTATTTTAAACCATTCCCTCTTCCTTCCTGTAGAGGCAGAGAAAGGGAAATCAGTACAAAGCGAAGCAATGAAAAGCTTTCTGATCTTACACAGATTTTGAGAAAACGTAGAAGAAAACACGAAAGCAATGGTTAATATTTTTTAAATATGTATTATAAATGTATTTTCCTTATTTTCTTCTCTTCTAAGAGTAATGCAAACACACTTTAGATGCTTCGAATACTGTCCAGATGCCTAACGCAGAACACAGGTGAGAAATCTGCAAACCGGAGCAAGCAGTAATTGTAGGAAACCTGCCCTCCAGACAGAAGCATTGCTAATGGTTTCCTCTTGCGCTCCTGGGCCCCTGGGCCTTTCTAGGCTTGCATATAAGAGTTTGAAGCCCAGCCAGCATCCCTATCTTTTCCAAAACTCAACAGGAACATTAAGCTTCCAGAATTACCAGGATGGCTGGCTTATAATCAGTTATTTTAAAAAAATTTATATGAATATCTACATAATACAAAATATTTTATAAAAACCTCAACACAATCACTATTAACTTCAGTCTATTTTCTTACTTTTTAAAAATGTGTGTGTTACATGCCATTGAATACATTCTGATTCCCAAGGACCCTATGAATGAGTGACGTCCACAGTGTCCCGTCCTCAGCAGCCCTGCTCGGCCCCTGTAGACTCAGGCCTATGGCTTCTTTATGGAGTCAGTCCATCTCATATTTGGTCTTCCTCTTAATGTGTTTTAAAATCCTTTATTATTTTTTCCTTTTATTATAAAAGATCACTGCATAAAATTGGGAAAATGGAGGAAAGTATAAAGAATTACCCATAATCTTATAAACCAGAAATGACCACTCTCAATACCTTTATTTGTTTTTCTTTCATCATATTGAAAAAGACGCCATTTGAACAGCTATAACTGCGACCATGATTTAAGGTGCTCCAATCGTGAAAGGCTCACCTTTCTCACCCATCCCCTAACCTCCCTTCCATTTAGCAACCATCAGTTTGTTTCCTGCATCTGTGGGTCTATTTCTGTTTTGTTTGTTGGTTTATTCTGTTCTTTAGATTCCACATATAAGTGAGATCATATGGTATTTGTCTTTCTCAGTCTGACTTATTTCACTTAGCATAATATTCTCAAGGTCCATACATGTTGTTGAGAATGGTAAGATTTCATTCTTTTTTATGGCCCAGTAATACTCCATTGTATAAATGCACCACAGTTTCTTTATCCAATCATCCACTGATGAGCATTTTGGTTGTTTCCATATCTTGGCTATTGTGACTAGCGCTGCAGTAAACACAGGGGTGCATATATTTTTTCAAATCAGTGTTTTGGATTTCTTTGGATAAATACACAGGAGTGCAATTGCTGGGTCATAAGGTAGTTCTAGTTTTAATTTTTTGAAGAACCTAGATACTGTTTTCCAGTGGCTGCACCAACACTGCACAAGGGGTTCCCTTTTATCGACATCCTTGCCAACACTTGTTGTTTGTTGATTTATTGATGATAGCCATTCTGACAGGAGTAAGGTGGTATCTCATTGTAGGTTTTATTTGCATTTCTCTAATCTTAGTGACATTGAGCACCTTTTCATATGTCTATTGGCCATCTGTATGGAGAAATGTCTGTTCAGGTCCTTTGCCCTTTTTTTAAAAAAAGATTTTTATTGGGGAATTGGGGGGATGGGAACAGTGCTGGGGAATTGGGGGAAGGGGAACAGACAAGTTGCTGTCATTTTGTTTTTCAGTCTAGTTGTGGAGGACGTTGCTTCACTGGCCCAAGTTGGCACCATCATTGCACTCTTCCCGGGTGAGGCAGATCAGTCGCTGGCTTCTGTACGGCCGCTCACTGTGGCTGCTGACCGCTCACGCTGGCTGCTGGCTACATACGGTAGCCCATGGCAACCCACTGCCACAGGGGCTGCAGCCTACGCTGTTGCCAGTGACTCACGGCAGCCCAGCTCCAGGTTGAGCTGTTGTTCAGCATCTTAGTTGTGGAGGGCAGTGTCACTGGCCCTCATATGTGGGATCCGAACCGGGGCCCTCTGGCATCCCAAGCCAGTTCTTAACCATCGCGCCACTCGGCCGGCCCAGCTTTGCCCGTTTTTTAATTGGATTGTTTTTTGTGGTGTTGAGTTGTATAAGTTATTTTTATAAATTTTGGATATTAACTCCTTATCAGAGGTATCATGGGCAAATGTCTTCTCCCGTTCAGTAGGATGCCATTTTGCTTTGTTGATGGTTTCCTTTGCTGTGAAAAAACTTTTCAGTTTGATGTAATCCCATTTGTTCATTCTTTCTTTTGTTTCCCTTGCTCACAGAGATACATCAGTAAAAATATTACTGAGGGTAATGTCTGAGAGTTTCCTTCCTATATTTTCTTCTAGGAGTTTTATGGTTTCGGGTCTTACATTCAAGTCTTTAATCCACTCTGAGTTTATTTTTATATATGGCATAAAAATGTAGTCCAGCTTCATTTTTTTGCATGTATCTGTACAGTTTTCCCAGCACCATTTATCGAACAGACCATCTTTATCTCAATGTTTATTCATGCTTCCTTCGTCATAGATTAAATGACCATATAGGCATAGGTTTATTACTGGGCTCTCTATTCTGTTCCATTGATCTATGCATCTGTTTTAATGTTCATACTATGCTATTTTGATTACTATAGCCTTGTAGTATAACTTGATACCAGGTAGTGTGATACCTCCAGCTTTGTTCTTCTTTCTCAGGATTTCCGTGTCTGTTTGGGGTCTTTTATGATTCCATATAAATTTTAGGATTATTTGTTCTAGTTCTGTGAAAAATGTCATTTGTATTTTGATAAGGATTGCGCTGAATCTATAGATTGCTTTATGTAGTATGGACATTTTAACTATATTCATTCTTCCTATCCATGAACATGGTATATGTTTCCATTTATTTGTATCTTCTTTAATTTCTCTCTTCAATGTCTTATAATTTTCTGAGTACAGGTATTTTCCTTTCTTGGTTAAATTTATTCCTAAGTACATTATTATTATTATTATTATTATTATTATTATTATTATTCAACTGTAAATGGGATTTTCTTAATTTCTCTTTCTATAGTTCGTTATTGGTATATAAAAATGCAACCGGGTTCCAGTCAAGATGGTGCAGTACGTAAAAGCCGTGCTTACCTTCTCCTATGACATCAAAATTACAACTAAACTACAAAAAAAACCATCATTGAGAATCAACTAAAATCTTTCTGAGCTGGAACCCTACAACTAAGGACATGCAGAAGAAGCCACCTTGAGACTGTTAGGAGGGGCAGAGACACAGAATGGGATCATCTCACACCTGTGTGTGACCTTTTAAAATTGAGAGGGATTATCTTGACTGCGGAAGTTCCCTGGAGGAGCGAGGGGTCCCATCCCCTCCCCAGCCCAGAGTTACAGTACTGGGAAGAGAAGTCCCCATAATTTCTGGCTGTGAAACCAGCAGAGATTGTGACTGTGTGAGACAGAAGGTGGTCGAAGGCCCACCTCTTAAAGGGACCTTGTGTGGACTTATCCACTGATGGAATCACTGGCTCTGAGCTCCAGCGCTGGGGCAGCAGAGACATGGGTGGGGGTAACTGAGTTGTCTGGCTTCAGGATGGTGGTTGGAGGGGCAGCTTTCTCCTGGATGGAGGAGCTGGCAGAGGTCATTGTTTATTTGTTGAGCCCTCCCCATTCCCAGTGTGCAGATGCAGGCTGTTGCCATATCTGAGTCTTCATCAAGCTGACTGATGTCATTCATTCACCACGCCCTGATGATTTGAGACCCTGCCACACCCAACTTTTGGGTACACCCAAGCCACTTCCAGTGGCTTTTTTGTACAAACTGCCTGCCTTGGCTCATGCTGCGGATTGTCCTAGGATCTTGCAAAGGTTCTCAGAACCCAGACAAGCAGCATCTGCCTTGAGCATGTCTTCTACCTCTTGCTGAGCAGCCCTAAGCCCGGCACTAATGGCAGCTGGCCTTCATTTAGAGCTTGGCCTCTCAAGCCACTTCCAAGCACAGCACGGGCGGTGGCCATCTGTGGATTTCTTTGTGGCTCTTGCAGGGTGGCCCCTGGTGGGGTACTGGATGTGGCTGAACTTGACCTGCAGCAGGTCCCCTCCCAGGTGGCCCTGGGCCTGGCGCCCCCCAGCGGTCAGCTTCGAAACTATCTGGAGCATCACCCAGCCACCTCCAAGAATAACACACCCAAGGGGCAGGTTGGGCAGGCACCAGAGCCCTGCTGAGGCAGAGCCTGCTCTGCAGGGTCAGCCCCTGCACCACAACTCCTCCAAGGTCAGTCTGCACAACCAGTGAGCCTGAGGGTCAATCCCTCCCACTGATGTGCAAATCGCAACCAAGGCTCAACTACAAGAGGAGGGCACACACAACCCACACAAAGGACCACCTGGAGTGCGTGGCTCAGGTGACCAGAAAGATTGAGCCACTGGGCCCCACAGGACATCTACTATATAAGGTCACTCTACTAAGACCAGGAGATATAGCAACCCTACCTAATATTGGGTTGTTGGAAAAGTCATGACGCATTTTTGCAACGAAAAAATAGAAAAAATACGTCATGACTTTTCCGACAACCCAATACATAGAAACAAACACAGGGAGGCAGCCAAAGAAACATGTCCCAAATAAAAGAAAAGAACAAAGCTCCAGAAAAAGAACTAAACAAAATGGAGACAAGTAATCTACCAGACACAGTGTTCCAAACACTGGTTATAAGAATGCTCAATGATCTCAGGGAGAATTTCAACAAAGAGATAGGAAACATAGAAATGGAGATAGAAAACATAATTAAGAACCAGTCAGAAATGAAGAATATAATAACTGAAATAAAGAATACATTACTGGGAATCAACTGATTAGAGGAAGCAGAGGATCAAATCAGGGATTTAGAAGATAAGATAGGCAGAAAACCCCAATCAGAACAGCAAAAAGAAAAAAGAACCCCCCAAATTGAGGAGAGTTTAAGGGGCCTCTGGGGCAACCTCAAGCATAC